ATTTCTAGCCTCAGCGCATCGCAAGTTTTTGTAACGGTTTTATCTGATAAAACTAGGCAGATTGCATTTCGATTCAAAAGCAGCCTCTCACACATGTAATATTTGGAATTCCAACGTGTTTCGCAGCATTGTATGAGTCGATTTTCCTTTATCCCCAACTGTACTTGGCGGTTTACTAGTGCAGTTTTGGCAATATTTGAGCGATGAAAATGTGCTGTTAAATTTCGTCCTTTTTTTGCAAATTTTATCGTAATCAGGTACAGCTGCTAATGCGTCTTTTATCACAAGCTGCAAAAGGTGAGCGCTGCACTTGATGCTGTCCCCTATATTAAAAAGTTGTTGCGCTGCTGCATTCATGACTGATGCACTGTCGTGCGTTATCGCTTGCGTTTTGTCGGAAATGTTCCAATCGGCTAAAACTACTTCTATTGCCGATGCAATGTTTTCTGCATTTGGTCGGTCTATAAATACAAATTATTTAAACAATTGACATGTCTTAAAATTAAAACACAAATTATGCATGTATGTATGAGTGTATGTGTTCATTTTATATATCTACATACAAGGTAGTTATTTTAACAGATTTACCTTCTAGTTGCTCGTTACAAAGTGTAACTTTGCACAATTCACTATTTTTGTCAATATACTGGGCTTCGACTGATAAATAACAATCTTGAGTTCTTGATGTCCATTCGTCCACTGAAATTGATGCGCTTTCTACCTCCGCCAAATCGTTTGCAATTTTTTCTCTTACGTCATTATAAAACAATTGTAAACGTGAGAGTATACTTTGTTGAGAGGGAACTTTGTATCCCGGTTCCAATAACTTCATAAAGTCGCGAAAGCCTTCAGAGGAAACGAAAGAGATTGGTAACATGTTACTTGCGATTAGGCGTGCCACTCCACGAGATATCAATTCCTGACGTTCAAATGTGCAGTCATGAACGGTGTCGTGCTTTTTTCTCTTACGGCCACCCGAGGTGCTCGCCTGCGTTTCAACGCATTCACCACTTGTTGCATCGATATTCGTGTCCGGTGTTCTATATATGTGTAACAAGCTTGTGCTCTATATTTTACTTATAACTTATATTTTTCTTTATTTGTACTTACATGCCACCACCACGAATCGGTTCCTTCTTATGGACTTGTTTCAAGTGAGTGCTTAGCGAGGAAGTGGAGTGGTGGAAACTAAGGACTGCTCCACAAATGGAGCAGGTAACTTGCTTACCATCACTGCATTTCGTAAAAAAACTCCACACCCAACTTAGTTTTCTTGCACTCATGTTCACAAAAACACACAAAATTTATAAATTCTTATTTTTTTTTTTGACAAATAACACTTTTTACAACGATCGAATATTCGATTTTAAGAAGGTATTCGAATAATCGTAGCTTTGCGACTATTCGAATAATCGAAGAGAATCAACTATTCGAATAGTAACATTCGATTTCCAATTGTACAAACAATTGCCATTCGAACGTTCGAATGTTCGAATAATCGAATTATTCGAACAATTTCAAGAGCTCTAGATAATAGTACCCTGCTGTTTGTTTAACACTTTTATTATAGTACTATATTTTATAGGTCCGCCAAAAACCATTGAAAATGCAATGAGGGCGCCACAAAAAGTCCTTAGTATTGAACAATGATTAAATAAACAATTGGGTATTAGTACTGGAAGTTCAAGAATTCTATACCATTTCTACAAAAAGTTTTTTTTTGCCCATATAAAATACATGGAAAACTTTGAGTGCTTTGAGCAACCTATAAATATTTTTTGATTTCAAAATAAAAAACGTTGTAAGGTGGGGTATATTTTTTTGGTATAAAACAATCCCAGGGGATGAGAGCATTTAAATTTTACTTTTTTTTTGATCACCCTAATGTGCATACTCTTAGGTACATACACACATACATATCGTCGCCTGAGTAAAATATTATCGTAAGCGCAATTTTAACGATTTTTAGTTATAGCTGCAGTTATATATTCTCAAATAAGGGCTTTCGATTGGTGTTATCAGTTTTTAGATATCTCCTTTAGTTACCGAGATATTGACTACAATTTTTTCAATAACATTTAGTTAGTGACGCAGTCATATTAAACCAATCAATATCTTAAAAATGGCTTTCTCCATTTTTGGATATCTACTTTAGTTTCCGAGATATTGAGTAAAAAGTGTCGTTAATTTAATAAAAATTTTGATCACATTTTGTCGTATTTCATAAAATATGGCTGCCAAATTTGACAAACTCAAAACTAATTAACAATAAGCACTGCAAATTGAATAATTTAAGAATTTTGTGAACTAGTAATATTTTCAGAGACTTTGGAGAAAATCTATCTTGGCGTTTTTGAGAAATTGCATTCCACAAACTTCAATCGCGATTTCCTACAACCTGCCGAAATTAACATACGTCAATCTTTTACCCAGGCGACGATATGTGTACATATATATACACTTATATATGACGTTTGTAGAATACAAATACATACATACGTACTTTTTTAACAAGTTCTATCCCACCATGCAAAACATGAGAAATAGGCAACAATCGTCAATGGCAACAAATTGGCGACTCACCGATTTATTGCTGTGGTGACAAATCGGCAACATCACTTCGTTCATGTCAATTTTGAATAAAAAAAGTTCTCAAAAATTCCGAAACTTATGAATATGGCGTCAATAGTATTGGCCAAAAGCATCTAAATTATGCCCAAGGACAAGATTGAAAAAATAGAAAGTCGCACAGCGAGAAAATGAATTAATTCCGATTGTAAGTTGCAATTTGGTACAAAAAAATAAATGAAGTATTAAAAAGAATAAAATTATTCCAAAAAATCGCCTGAAGCGATAAGAAAAGGACTCATTCAGGTAATAAGAAAACGACTCGCCCAGACGAGTTGCCTTCGGCGGACGTTTTAGAGCGACCGGTAATAGGAAATCGATTCGATGGCAATATTACCGGCAATAAATTTGTTTCCGAGGGCGACACGTTTTCTTATTGCTGGCAACACAAATTGTTTGGTGGGATTTGTCGTTCTTTCAAGTAGTTATAGAAAATTAAAAGTTGTATTTAGAAGCGAAGAGCTTTACTTTTTCAGTCGACGTATCTCCTTAGAGACTTAAAACTTGTTGTTGAATTTATTGTGCGTAGCTTATTTATGTATATCTCTTCTCTCATTTCTCTAACGGAGGAGCTTCCCAAAGGAAAACAAAAACATTTTATAACAGCACTGCAAAAAATGCGTTTTCAGCAAACATGGTACATATTTATGTATGTATGTATGTAAATATATAAATAAGAGCAAGAGACCCGTAGAATAAATCATATTTATGGAATAGAATTTACAAAGGAAAGGGGTAAAATATATGTCTATATGTATGTAGTATGTCCTTGAATTACTTAGGTTAATATGTATAGCTACGCCGTTGCCAAGGAAACCGTAGACAAGAGAAGAGTTGACGAATAGAAAAGAGCCAAAAGAAAGTGAACACAAAATGAAACACACACTGATATATGTACATATGTATGTATAAAAATGAACAGGAAGCCCACCAGGATAATAGAGACAAAATGAATTGCAATGAATTGTTACAAATTTATTCACTCACCCAAACAAAACACTAAATAGTGCGGACAGAAGCAATGGACAAGGGCTGACGCTAGAGGACGTTATGCAAAGGCATGAGAAATTGAAAAGGAAACATTTGTGCATAAAAAATGTCAAGGAGCAAAAGAATTAAAATGCTGACAGGATTCATAGTGACATCAACGAGTGACAGCAGCGGCAGCAGCAACAACAACAACAACAATAACAGAAATAAATACAAAAAAAAAGAGAGGAAACAATGCATAGGATATACATACATAAGTAGAAAGAAAAGAAAAAACAATAGCAACAACTGCAAGAAAGGACAAAATTACATTTTTTTTTTATAAATTTAAATGTAGGCAATTTGCTATGGTCGCCGCATATAAACGCAAAGTAGGTGAGTGGCAAGAAATTGGAACGGCAGTGGGGCATCATAGCAAAAAAGAGCAAAACTCGAGTGGGTCAGAAAGAAGGGATGTTTAATTTTCAAAATTGAGCCACTTCTATTGGAGAGGTCCAGCGTTCAGCAGATGTGTGTGTGGTTATAGGTGTGAAGAGCGGGAGAGAGATAGAATAGGGCTGAGTAGCCTAGACCTCGAAAGTTTGGTTTAAGCATTGTAAAGAGTAGAAATATTACTTTATATTGAATTTTTATTTACTTTTTAAAATTGAAAAACTGACAACATATAAACCGAGACAAACCACATGCGAATTACGAAGGACACAAGCTATAGTGCTTATCAGAACTATACGACACCCACATATTGACAAGTTTTGACTATTTATTTTTCTATTTCGGTTTATAAATTTCTCGCTTTTTAGAAAAGTGAAATTTTGCTGAAGCATTGGTGATTTTTTTAATTAGTTCACAGTTTGAAACATCAGTTGATATGGTTTTTGACAGATATAGAATCAACTATATTTTTGAAAAAAAAAGTTAAAAAAAAAAAATTAATAGTCAAAACTTGTTCATATCAACAGCTGATTGGAAGGTCGACCTATCTCGGCAGTCAGTTCGAAAACGCCCTATCTCAGAAAGCTTTTCAAGAACATACTATTTCAGAATTTGGTTGAAAAACGTTCTATCTCAGCATATTTTCAGTTGAGATAAGGCTTTTTTCAACCAAGAGAAATTGCAATCTTAAATCAAACTCCGAAGTAGGGCGTTCTTGAAAAATTTTCCGAGATAGGGAATTTTCAAACCGGCTACCGAGATAGGTCCATCTTCCACTCAGTCGCCGATATGTACATATGAAGCGGTCGTATAATTATTATAAGCACTACAAACTTTTAATTTTTAATATAACTAAACTTAAAAAGAATGCAAATTTAACCCAAAAGTAAAATGCGTAATGGAAAGTAACAGCAAGAACAACTAGTATGTATGTGTAAGTGCTCCTATTTATAACCCGGGTAATGCGACATTTACGTAAATTTATGTCCAAAAACATGAAACAAAATATAAATATCATATCCTGAATTCCATAATTTTGTGTTACAACAAAGCACAATTTCGCGCTGAGTGCAGTGAAAAGCACACATAAATACAAACATGTAGACTCTACATACATATTCGTCTTAAATCCGTACTTTCGTTGCTAACTCAGTATTCTTTTTCAGTGTTGTTGGTAATTTTTAGCCTTGTTGCACTTGTACTGTTTTGTTTTGAATGACAAAGAGTTAGTAATAAATTTTCTCCACCGTTAGCGAGCGCGCCAAATTATGGAATAACTAAGTATATACAGTATCTACATATATATACATGTGTTACGTAACAGCCAAAGCATTTTTTTTTAAATACTCGGGGCTACTCTGCAAAGCCTTGGTGCTTATTTTGTTCCACATAAAAAAGAAGAAAATGGCAACACCGAATTCGGAAAATAAAATGAAAACATGTGCATACCTGCGTTATGATTTTTTAGTAGCTACTTAAATTAAGCTTGTGTTGCGGTTTTTGGCAAAACTATCGTTTAAAAAACTTGCAGAATGCGAGAATGTAAAAAACATCCCAACTCATTCTGTGAGTAAAGTAGTCAATTTTCTATGGTTTCTTTTCGATTATTTTGAAAATTAATCGGTTAATCGTTCGATTAATCGAAAGGAAAATTTCGATACAATTAAATCGTTAACCGAATGAAAATAACCGATTATAATCGGTTATTCGATTAATCGTGCCATCACTAGTGACTTTGGCCTTGCTAAAACTAAAGTATTTGAGTTCCTCCATAGTCGAAGCGCTGAGTATCAGGAATTCGTCAGCAAGTAATTGTTACAGTTTCGAATTTTCACTTCATTCCCGCCAGTAAAGACGTTTTACGTCAAAATGCAGTTCTTGAAGGAACTACACCCTTTAATAGCAGTTTTTTAATGGAGGTCGCTTTTGTTCAGCTCATGAAATGAAAAATAAAATAATTAAACAAAAATGTAAAGACCCCTAATAAAGTTTTTATAAAAAATTTGAAGGTTTTGGCCAAATTAATAGCTGCCGCACAAAGCACAAATGGAATTTGTGTAAACACGTTTCTAATCACGAAACGTGAATTGGGAACATATTTGGAGGCAGCAATGCAAAGAAACGTCTAGATTCAACTAATTAAACAAAGCATCAAAAAAAAACATAAACAATGTTATAAATCAATAAAGCTGTGACTCAATCAGGCTCAAGTGGGTCGCCCCATTACAACATCGATCAGTGAGCCGGAAGGCAACCAGTCTTGAAGTGA